GTAGTCCGGTATTGGTTGTGTATTCCATTCTTCCAACAGGTGGTCGCGTAGTAGTTTGTTTTGGTTCCACTTGTCTCTCGCATTTCCGGGGGTTTGATATGGGAGTAGGAGGGAAGCGATTCGGTGTAGACCTGTCCCTTTGATATTTGCTTCTCTGTATGGGAGGAGCTCAATTAGGGATTCATTGTTGGGGTGGGTTGCCTCGGTGCAGAGTATTCTGGTTCCGTACTTTCTTGAGCGATATGTTAGGAGGTATTCTAGGGGGGGTAGTCCTGCTTCTCGGAGGAGTTTAGCTCTCTTGGTCCATCGAGGTAGGCCCGTGATAATCCGGGCAGCTTCGTTGTATAGTGGTTCTAGTGATCTAATAATGTGGTCTGCGCCAGTCCACCAGGCCTCAGATCCGTAGAGCAGGCTTGGAAGGAAGCCCTGTGTTATTAGATGATGAACTGTCTTAACTGTTGTCCCTGGCAGGCGGGCGGTGTTTCGGATTTGGTGGAGGGCTTTTAGGCCTTTTGCGATTGCTGCTTCGATATGGGGCCGGAAGGAGAGGGTTGGATCTATCCAGACTCCTACATATTTCAGCCTCTCCTTGGGGTATATATCGGTGTTGTTAACTTTGACTGGAAGTCGTGGTTGTTGTGTGGATGATGTGGTGGGCCGGAAGAAGATCAGATCGGATTTATCCGGGTCGTATTTGATTTGGAGTGGCTCAGCTTTAATTAGTCTTTCTCTCATTCGTTCCTCCATTCTCTTAATTGTAAAGCCTGGTGTTTTGGATATTTGCACCAACGCATCGTCATCGATGTAAGTTGTGTCCATCTCTTTTGGGCTGCTAGTTGGGTCCAGAATTACTCCGGCATAGATCATGAATAGTACCGGAGATATGGGGCTACCTTGCGGTACTCCAGAATCATAGGGCTGTGGTTCCTCTAGCTCGTGGTTGAATTGGAACTGTAGTTTTCTGCCGGTGTTGAATTCCTTGCACCATTCTGTCAGATAGATGGGGAATTTTTGTTGGTGCATGATTTCCGCGAGGAGTAGGTGGTCGACACAATTAAATGCTCCTTGGATGTCGTTGGTTAGGATCGCTGGTCTATCTCGCCGGGCGATTCCGGTGCTATTTTTTAGTAGTAGGTTTTGTTGTATTGGTGTCAAGGTTCTCAGGAGGGCATCGATTGCCGAGATGGTTGGTCTTCCTCCGAATTGGTTTGCTGAGAGTATGCCTAGGATTTCTCCAGCGGTGCAGAGTCTCTGGGCCACTATCTTCTCCAGGATTTTGCTGAAACATTGTAGAAGGGAAATGGGCCGGTAGGCTTTTGCTTCATGATAATTTGCTTTACCGGGTTTCGGGATCGGGATACACTTAGCTATTTTCCATTCCGCTGGATGTACACCGTGCCGGAGCATAGCGGAGAACATGTCTTGGATTAGAGTTGTGTTTGCTTTGACTATAGCTTTAATGAAGGTATAAGGGATGCCATCCGGGCCGGTCGCCGAGTGCGCTGGGCAGGAGTCGATTGCTTTGTTAAGTTCTTCGGGGGTGACTATGTCGAAGGTGTCGCTAAGGTCAAAAGAGGGGGGTCTAATGTTCAAGGGGGGATGGTCGGGGGACGTCCGTTTCGAGGGGAAAAGTTGGGCTCTTAGAGCTTGACACTTCCCCGCAAACGTTTCTTCACCTTGTATAGTTGGTATGATTGTGTCTCGTCTCTTTCCTACGCTTAGGACTCTCCAGACTTCACTACCTTTCGCCTCATTCATCGTCTTTTCCCGCTGGTCCGCTTTAGCTTTCCGGATCATGACTGTCCACTCTCTGCAAGCCTTCCGGTGTTCCTCCACGTGGTTGGGTTTCCTTGTATTTCTCGCCTTCCTTTCTGCTGCGTTTACCCTTGCCTTCATCTGTTTCATCTCATCTGACCACCAGGAGTTGGCTCTTACCCCCTCCTTCGAGAGTGGTGTTACTATGCTGACTGTTGACCTGACCAGTTCTAGGAAGAAATCGACAGTTTGTTCCGTGTGTTCCTTGGTTTCCCATGCCTCTGCAGGGATGGAGATGTTTGACATATGGTTCTCCAATAGCTTCCAGTCTGTTTGTCGCCACATTCGTCTTGGCACGAAAGGTGGTTTTTCCAGGTGTAAGTGGACGGAGGTTCTTCCGTGGTCTGAGCCCGCTCCGTAGGGTTCAGTACTCCATCGTAGGTTGTGGTCGAGTATTGGGCCTTTTACAAATGCCAGGTCGATGGTTGTGGGCCTTTTCCCTCTGTCTCTGGGGAAGTGCGTAAAGACGCCTGGTTCGTTCAGGAGGGTCAGTTTCTGTCGGGTTATCCATCGTTTTAGCCGTGCGCCATTGACGCGGTCTGCTCGAATGTTGTTTCTGTATTCCTGTGAATTTACTCCGTACCACATTTGATGGTGGCAGTTGAAGTCTCCCATTACTAGACAGTTATCAAGGGTTTGGATTGTACTTGCTATTTGCGCGAAGGGGCCGCTTCGGCCCGGGGAGTATATGTTTAGGATTTGGGTTTTTTTGGTTTGGATTTCTACCGTGATCGATACTATAAAATTATCGTGTGTGTAATGGTGTTTTGGTTTGAGATTGGCATGTTTGCGGACGTATGTTGCACATTTTGTATTGGTGTTGCTGGCCGTAAAAATATAAAAGAGATTTGATTCTGGTGGGTATCCCTCTGCTGAGGTCCATGGTTCTTGTAGTAATAGGAAATAAATGTTAGAGTCTGTTTCCGCTTCTTCTACCGCCGCCTTGGTAATGAGTTCGCTCCGTGCACAATTGAGTTGGTGTGCGAGCGCGGTGGTTCGAGGCCTAAGCATTATTTGTCATGGGTTGGTCGTCTTCGGGAACGGGTGTGGCTCCGACTGGGGCAGTGGCTGGTACTTGAACTATCGGAAGCAACTCTTGAACGGGTGCGGCCGGTGGGTCTTGGGCGGGTGGGGCGTTTTCCTTTCCTTTATTGAGGAATCGGCGTTTGACTCTCTCGGGGCATGCTGGGTCGGAGGCCTTATGGATTCCTTTACAGTTCAGGCATCTGATTGGGGTGTGGGTGCATCTGTATCCTCCCTGGCATTGATTGCATGGGTGGAAGCTGGTGAGGTGATCTCCGGCACAATGACCGCATCTCCCATTGTTTTTGCATTTCTCCTGGCGATGACCGTATTCGAGGCACTTTGCGCACTGGGTGTCTGGGAAGGTTGGGAGGAAGGCCTCAATGTGGCAGCTTCGGTTAAAGAGGGATAGGAACTTAACTCCTAATGTTTCCATTGTAACTTGTCCTGGGAGCGCAATAACCATTGATGAGTGGGTTTTCTCCATTCGTGTCTCTGCTCTGGAGATCCAGCGGGGAATCTGGGCAAGTTGGAAGTTCTCTCCATAGTTGCTTCTAATTTCGGATGCTACCAGTTGTCCTGCCTCGGCGCCTTCTCCGATCGTTGTGGGGATTCCGTGAATGAGGAACTTTGACCATTTGGAATTTGCCCGGATGATGGCGACTGGTACTTGTAGGGTGAGGAGAGCCTCCTCAATTTCTTTGGCGTATTCCATTGCCTTTGTTGCTGGGGTGACAAACTTAGTTTCCAGGATAAAATTATCCTTGGGTGTTCTCCTTGCTGAGATGAAGTGGCAGGATTCGTCCTGAATTCTTGCATTAACTAGGGTCCTGATCTCGGAGGGGTTGACGTCGGATGGGGCAGTGGTTTCAACAATGATTTCTCTGTTGATTTTGGTATATTCGGGCTTGAAGAGGGGGTCCGCTTTTGGCTTTGCGGACTTCTTTCTTCTCTCAACAACCTGGAAACTTCCTTGAGCAGGACCGGGTGCCGAGGCCACAGCGGCCCAGGTGCCTGCTTTCCATCCACGGGGTGGGGCTTGTTGGGGGGGTGCGGGTGGGGGGGCCTGAGGGGCTGCCTGAGGCGCTGCTTGGGGAATTGTTTGAGGGACCGCTGGAGGGGGTATTCTCTGTCCCTGCGGTTGTTGTTTTCGCTGTTGTTGTTGTTGTTGCTGTTGTTGGTTTTGTTGTGGTTGTTGCGGTTGCTGCGATTGTGGTTGTTTGTTGAGGAGAAGATGGATCGCCGAGTGCATACTGGTGATCATAGTTGTCTGCGCCTCGATTTGGTGCCTCAGTGTATCCACTGTTCTCCGGAGTGTGGTTGTTTGCTCTTCGAGGATTTCAATCCTGTCGGTGGGTGGGCAGATTCGGCTGGTGGCATGTCTGATGGCCCAGGTAATATAGTTCAGGTCCGTCTGGGTGTGAGTATCCTGGGGGACAATGCTCGGGTAGAGGTAGTCGACTCTCGGTTGGTAGGGGTCGTTGTAGTCGGATTCTGTTGCAAAGGTCGAGGAGAATTCCTGTTCCTGAGCTCCGGATGGGGTTGGGTCGGGAACCTGAGTGTTCCTGATCTGCGAGGGGGCTGTCCCTTGCTGGGAAGACTGGGTGAAAAAGGACTGGAGCGAAGCTTGCTGCGACATAACTGAGTGTCCAGTTCTTCTGGCGGCGTAGAGAGATGTTTCGGATAAGTTTCTTTTCCTTCCTTTCGGGAGGTCAAGGCTGGTGAATTTTTCGCTAGAAGCCAGTTTTCGTGGTGTTTCTTTCGCTTGGAACAACAAAACGCGACCATACGATCGGGGACAAAGTGGCTCAGCCTGGTATGGTATACCAGGGTAAACCGAGAGGAGTAAAATAAAGTGTTTTTGAAGCGAGATTAATTGTCAGAAAGTTTTGCGAGCCTTAGCGAGCAAGTAGAATACAGAGGTTGCGTAAAGAAAGAAGGAAAGAGAGAAAACATATAAAGACACAAGACAACGCCTCCTTATATATCCAACCATAGTCCAACGATGACTAATACCTTCGCGTAACAGAAACTAAAAGAACATAACAGAAACTCCAATTACAAATCCTAATCCGACTACGCAATACCTCCCCTTCCCGTTCCAATTCATCACCTAACCGAAATCCATAGTTGCCGTTACAGACCACGCCCCTCTCTAAGGCCTACCTCCTGGTAGGCTTAGGTTTCTCTGGATAACGCTCGTGGAATCGTTTGACAATATTAGGTGAATGTTTAAGGTCTGATAATGGTTGCCAGGAGGCTTCATCATATCCTGTATATCGTACCAAGTACTCAAACCTTCCTCTTCGTTCCCTTGAATTCAAAATATCTTCAACTTCCCATTCTTCCTCTCCTTCGATCTCAACCGGAGGTGGTGGCGACTGTTGTTGTCCAGGTAGAGGATTACCTGCTTCAGGAGACAATAATGAGACATGAAATACTGGATGTATTTTCATCGATCGAGGAAGTTCCAATTCGTAAGCATAGGGGTTAACAATCCGCTTAATGTTATAGGGTCCGATACGTTTCCAATCGAACTTCTTGGAAGGTCACTTCGTTAGAATATGGAGTGTCGATAGGAAAACTTTATCTCCCAAATTGTAGCGAGGGGCTGGAGTTCGGTTCGCATTGGCGGCTTCTTCTTGTATTCTTTGTGCTCGGAACATCTCGTCTTTTAGGAATCCCACTATCTCTTTCATTTCCCGTGCAATGCTATTAGCTTGGTCTTCCGCTGTCGTTCGACCATGTTCCAAAGGACCGAAAGTCATCCTTGGATTTCTTCCCGAATTAGCATAAAAAGGAGAGACTTTTGTTGTTTCCGAAGTATGGTTGTTTGTCGCGAATTCGGCCATTGGTAACAATCGAGCCCAATCATCCTGTTGATAAGATACATAGCTTCGGAGGTATTGTTCCATTACGGCGTTAATTCTTTCCGTCTGTCCATCTGTCTGAGGATGAAATGCGGTAGAGAATTTCGGTGATATTTCCAACCGATCACAAAGCGATTTCCAAAGCTCCGCAACGAACTGTGTCCCTCGATCAGATACAATAGTATCAGGTAATCCATGTAGCTTCCAAACATTATCAATATATAGCCTTGCTACTTCCTTTGAATTTGCCTCTTTAATCGTTGGTATTAAATGTCGCATTTTAGTTAATCTATCCACCACAACCAAGATTGCATTGTATCCATCGCTTTCAAGAAGATCGGTAACAAAATCCATCGATATATCCATCCACGGTCCCTCAGGTATCGGCATAGGACGGAGTACTCCATAAGGTGCGTTGCGTGGTGCCTTACTACGAGTACATACATTGCAATTCCTAACGTACTGGTCGACATCCTTTCGCATTTGTGGCCAATAATATTCTCGGTTTAGAAGTCCCAATATCTTTGCCCTACCCGGATGTCCTGCGGATGGTTTATCATGATGTTCTTTTAAAAGCCTTAGTCGAAGGTCATTGTCGTCTGGTACATATAGCGCGCCTCGATAAAGTAGCCGACCGTTGTTATCTTCCGTACATTCGGCAAGTGAAATTTTATTCGAATGGCGAATGCCGTTCCGAAGCATAGCGAGGATCTTGTTTGGGAAACTATCAACTTGGTAAGCTTTTGAAAATAACTCCTCTACAGTAAACGCTCCTTCAGCGGATTCATTTGACAAAGAACCCGCGAACAAACTTAGCTTGATATCTAAATTTTTTCGCTTCAAAATCACCTGACTCTGATGCATCAACCGTTCATCCCCCTCTTTAGGTAGGTCACCTGACCTTCTAGTCAATGCATCTGGTTTCGCTCCTTGTTTTCCTGGCCGAAATTGTATAACGAAATCGAAGCGTGAAAGGAATTCGGACCACCGCGCTTGTCGGCGATTTAACAATTCTGTTGTCATAAAATATTCAAGATTTCGATGGTCGCTAAAAACTTCGATTGGGAATTGAGCTCCCTCCAGGTGATGTCGCCATTCTTCAAAGCATCGTATGATTGCTAAAAGTTCTTTATCATAGATTTCATAGTTGCACTCTGCAGGAGAATGTTTCTTAGAGAAGAAAGCAACTGGATGTAGGATTCCTTCGTCGTCTCGTTGAGATAGGATTCCTGCTGAAACATAATCAGACGCATCGGTTTCTATCACAATCTTTCAGTCCGGATTAAAATGAACTAGTGTCGGTGCCGTGGTAAACATCTTTTTCAAAGTTTGAAATGCTTCCTCCCTATCATCCGTCCATTCAAATTTAACGTTTTTCTTGGTCAAGGCTGTAAGTGGAGCAACAATTTTCGAATATCCTAGAATGAATCGTCGATAGAAATTTGCAAATCCTAGAAATACTTGAACATCATGGAGATTCATCGGTGTAGACCATTCCAAAACATCGATAACTTTCCTTGGGTCCATTCTATTCCCATTCGGGGTAAGAATCAAACCAAGATATTTCGTCTCTTGAACCATAAATTCACATTTTTCAGGTTTAAGGTGAACATGATTCTCATCAAGTACCTTTAGAACCTTTTGAATATGTTCTTTATGTTCTAATAGAGTCTCGGAGTAGATAAGGATATCGTCTAAATATGCCGTTACGAATTGATCGAGGTAGGGACGTAAGATATCATTGATCCAATGTTGAAAGGTAGCAGGGGCGTTAGCTAATCCAAACGGCATTACTGTATATTCAAAATGTCCATATCGAGTCCGGAATGCCGTCTTCCGTTCGTCCCCTTTCGCTATTCTGATTTGATTATATCCCCAGCGTAAATCCAACTTAGTATAGTATTGTGCTCTTGACAACTTGGCTAGAGTTTCCTTTAACAATGGTAGTGGGTATCGATTCTTGATTGTAATTGCATTTAGACCTCGATAATCAACACAAAGTCGAAGGGTTCCATCGTCTTTCTTTACAAACAATATAGGTGCTCCCGCTGGTGACTCACTAGCCCGAATAAATCCTTTAGGTAAATTTTCGTCAAGATATTCCCGTAGTGCTTTCAACTCGATTTGAGACAACCCATATATAGGTCCATATGGTGGTCGTTTGCCTTCTTCTAATACTATTTCGATATCATGGGATGGTCGATGTGGTGGAAGAATTGAAGCGTCATATTCTTCGAACATATGGAGATGACGGTAAAATTCCTTTGGTACTAGTTGTTTAATGTCAATGGTAGATTTCTCGGTTGCTGAAACGATAACTGTATGGTGTTCCGGTAAAGGAATCGAGATGCCATGAACAATAACTGTAGTCCCATCAAGTGAACAGTGTTGACAACAGCTTCGAGAATCAAAAATAAGTAGGTTTTCCTTTGGTCGAATCGTAACGTCATGACGTCGCATCCAAGGTATCCCCATCACAATCGGATAATGTCCTAACTTTGTTACAAAACATGGCGCAGTCTCTCTATGACCATGAATGTCCAGCGAGACATCGACAATATGGGTAATTTTCCCTGATTTAATATGTCTTCCGTCTATAACGTCCACATGGCGAGGTATTTTGAGGGGGGTCATTGTAAGATTATTGTGGCGTACAAAAGATTCATCAATGAAAGCGTATCCTGATGCTCCGGTATCAATAAGAGCGTAGGTGGGGATGAAAGAATTTTTATTTTGTGAAATCGAACAAGTTACTACAAGTTGATTTCCATCCATTTCCTCCTCTGATACCGAAAAACCAGAAATACACATCCTAGAAAAATCCCTAAACGGTCCCTGTGCTAAGCCACTTAGTGCAGGGACAAATCTTTTGCCGACTCATTATCACTTCCATCATTTTCCTCCACCGTCAATGCTGCTCCCCTCATCACAGGTCTTCTTGGTTGATTTCCACTTGCCCTCGCTTGGGGGCAATCCCTAACCATATGCCCAACACCTCCGCAATAGAAACATCGGCCCTCAACTAAGCGGGCATTTCTTTCGGCAGGAGAGGGGCGACGACGTCCTCCAGACAGATCCATTGGTACATCACCTCCCGGACGGGACGAGGGATGACTTTCCGTAGCAGGCATTTCTTTCGGCAGGAGAGGGGCGACGACGTCCTCCAGACAGATCCATTGGTACATCACCTCCCGGACGGGACGAGGGATGACTTTCCGTAGCAGGTACATTAGCGGCTGGGGCGGCAGCACAGGGAGCAGGAACAGGATTTACTGGTGGGGGACGAGGAGCCGGGGTAGTAGTAACACTCCAAGGCTTTTTATTTCCTCGTTTAGCCTCCGCCGCACGACGACGATTATCCAACCGTTGTAAGAGTGTCGCACAGGCATCTACCGTCGCAGGAGTGTCATGGTGTATCATTGATTCATCGAGTTCCCCATTAATACCTTCCATCAAAGCCTCGATCCGAGAGGCTTCGTCCATACCCGACTCAGCAGCATACCGTTGAAACTCAGCGAAATAGTCGGCGAACGTTCGATTTCGTTGGTGGATGTTCCGAAGGTTCTTCCTAGCCGTACGCATCCGATCGGGGTCCCCAAAAGCAGTGTCCAATATCTCATAAAATCGTATCATAGAGGGCAAGGTAATCTCTCCTTCCCCGACATACTGTAAGAACTGATTGGCAGCAACGCCTTCCAATCTACTGAATGCATAGGATAATTTCGACTGTAGGGTGGGGTAGCGATCGGCATTTCCCAATAGCTTGATTTTCATTTGTTGCTTGAATAGGTGTAGTCTTTCTCGATCACGATTCCCCCTGAACACCTCAGGATCCGGAAGCTTTTCTGACCGATAGGTAGTATCTGTAGTGAGTGGTACTGGGGGTGCAGGTGGAGCATTGTCTCCGACAGGTGCTCCCTCAGGGGCAACAGCTTGGACAGCAGTTTGTTGGGCTCGGGCAGCAGCAAGATCTCGTTCAAACATTCTTCTCGCCCTTTCAGCCTCCGCTTCTATCTCTTGTAAATCCGTTGCATACTGAGCAAGACCATGTTGACACTGTTGGAGAAGTGCATAGGCTTCGGCTCCGATAACATCATTGACCTGTGGATGTTCTTGAAAAAAGGTTCGGAGGCTGTTGCTGAGCTGTTGATAATCAATAGTAGCGTGTCCCGACATCGTAAACTATAGTGTTGTATTGGTTGGCGAGAGGGGACGCAACCTACGTATAACGTGGGTTTATGAACGATGGACTATAGTGCCAAGGAATACAACCGAAGCAAGAACGTAGTAGAAGATGTTCGTAACTATGGACTATGAGGCGGTTCAATCCTGATTTGAGATCCAAGATGAGCCCTATGACGTAGCGTAGAACAAAAGTAGTATTCGTGGAATAAATACAGAGGTTGCGTAAAGAAAGAAGGAAACAGAGAAAACATATAAAGACACAAGACAACGCCTCCTTATATATCCAACCATAGTCCAACGATGACTAATACCTTCGCGTAACAGAAACTAAAAGAACATAACAGAAACTCCAATTACAAATCCTAATCCGACTACGCAATACCTCCCCTTCCCGTTCCAATTCATCACCTAACCGAAATCCATAGTTGCCGTTACACGGAAAGAATTAATGCTGTGATGGAACAATACCTTCGAAGTTATGTTTCTTATCAACAGGACGACTGGGTTCGATGGTTACCAATGGCCGAGTTTGCAACGAATAACCATGCTTCGGAAACGACGAGAATCTCTCCATTTTACGCCAACTTAGGGAGGAATCCAAGAATGTCTTTTGGTACTTTGGAATATGGTAGGACGACAGCGGAGGATCAGGCCAATAGTATTGCAAGGGAAATGAAGGACATATTAGATTTTCTAAAGGATGAATTATTTCGAACGCAAAGGATTCAAGAAGAGTCCGCCAATATACATCGGACTCCAGCACCTCACTATCGTGTGGTGGATAAAGTTTTCTTATCGACCAACCATGTTCTCACCAAACGACCATCGAAGAAACTCGATTGGAAACGTATTGGACCGTATGTTGTGAAACGAATTGTCAATCCCTATGCCTATGAATTAGAACTTCCTCGTTCGATGAAAATACATCCGGTATTCCACTTTTCGTTATTGTCGCCCGCAGTCGATGATCCCTTGCCCGGTCAGGAACAACTACCTCCACCCCCAGTTGAAATCGAAGGACAGGAGGAGTGGGAGGTTGAAGATATTTTGGATTCGAGGGAGCGCCGAGGGAGATTCGAATATTTAGTAAAATATGTCGGATATAATGAAGCTTCTTGGCAACCATTGTCGGACGTCGAACATTCGCCCGATATTATTAAACGATTCCATGAACGTTACCCACGGAAGCCTAAGCCTACCAGGAGGTAGGCCTTAGAGGGGGGAGTGGTCTGTAACGGCAGCCATGTGGTTTGGTTATGCGAGGTGTTGGGGTACGAAGAGGAAGGGTTATATAATGTGGTTGGGATTTGTACAGTGGGTTTCTATTATGTTCTTTCTGTTTCTGTTATGTGAGGGTATGAGTCAGCATTAGGATTGGGTATGGATATATAAGGGGGGCGTTGTCTTGTGATTCTTTGTTTCTTTCTCTTCTTCTTTTCTCTTTATGCAACCTCTGTACTTTACAGTTACGAACACTATTTGGTTCGCACTACGTCATAGGGTTTACCCGGTATACTAGACCAGGTACAACCATCCATAGTCCACAGTCCCCGTTCTTGCCTTAGGTGTACCCTTCGGCCCCATAGTCCATAGTCCACGAACCTCCTACGTCCACGTCTTTGCCTCGGTTGTATTCCTTGGCTTCATAGTTCCTACGCCCATAGTCCCCGTTACATCCATTGAAGTCCGGCTTCAATGGTTGTATCGCAGCCAGAAGTCTGGCCCTCCTTCGTCTTGGGTCCCTGAGCTTAAAGACCGCAAGCAGCCTTGCTGGGCATAAACCCTGCAAAGCCTCCAGGTCAGCTGGCTTTTGACGAAACCAGACCCAGTCGTTGCGCGCGTTTCCCCGTCTGTAACCCGACGTTCCCATCGTACGAAGTGTGTGAATTGTACTCTCGTCGCCCTCGCCGTGCAAAAGGACGGGTACGTTGAGCTGTTTGAATGTGTTTACCCGCCAGCTATTGATGTCTTCGGGCATATCTTCGTATCCAAGACATAGCTCCCTCCTGAAATACCGCCGGATGTAATACCCCAGTCTCTTTGTAGCACCTGCGATATCTACACTACCGACATTTGTTAATTTG